GAGCATCCAGCCTTCAAACCCTGACATGCTTTAGCTATCAGAGATGCTGAGAGCCCTGCCAGGATGTGACCACCTCAACCCATGCTGCACAACTGCTGAAGGCAGTACTGGGGCGCACTGAAGACATAACAATTGAAGATGTAATAATTGCATGAGGCTTGCTAACGTGACATCAAAAGCTGTCCTACATTCATGCTCTGGTGTCTTCTACTTGGGCAGTATTTCAACAGGTACGTAGAAGTTCCCTCCGTTACCTCAAGCGAGTGCTAATCTTTTTTTTTGTAATTAGAGGTCAGTCTTTCAAGTAAGACTTAAACTATTTAATTATCATTCATCTCATAGTGTGTAAGGTTGCCAGAGGTCAAACAATAGTGAACGAAACCTGCACGAGCAAACAGAAAGGCCTGTATACCTTTCTGATGATTCCCATACTTTCCCCCAACACTGGGGATTCCCTTCATTAAATTAAGACCAGTGAGGGCTATTTTTACCAATGCAATACCAGGGCCGGTCCAGCAACCAAAGCGGATAGAAGCGGCGGGGGTTGAGGAGTCTAACTTGACTACGGAGACCGAAGGTGGACACTGTTAGTACCTCTGGAATTCATCCCACCCGGATAACCTGCCCGTTACTTCTCTTCAGAAAACGGTTTCCAAGTTGTGAAACCGAAACGCTAGACCAAGACCAAAGTCCGTTATCAGCGTCCAGGGCTGAGCCCCCACAAGGCCCGCGACCCTGACCCAGCGTTGCCCCTTCTCTCCCGTACGTACCAGGCTGGCGGCGCTCCCTGCGCCCCACCGGCCGCCCGGGGCCTCGGCGGCGGCACCCTCTCGGGCCGCGGGCCCGGGGGCCGCCTTGCCCGCGCCCGAACAGTGGCTCCGCGGGACTGCCCCAGGCAGCCACTGGCCGAACGCGGCGGGGCGCAACCGCCCACGTTCCGCCAGGCAGCCCAGGCAGATAGGTGCGGGCGGCAGCCGGGCCCCGAGGGCGCGCCCCTTGCTCGGCCGCACCCGCGGTGCCCAAGCGGCTCCGCGCAGGGCACCCCACGAGCCACGCGCCACGCACGAAGCTAGCATGGCCCTGCGGCCGCGCCGCGGCAATGATGGCAGCAAGAGATTAGCAGCCTGGGGTACCGACGAGCCACTTCTCCACCGACTGCCCCAAGTCTCGGAGGACCTCGGACGCGTCCATACTTGTTTTTAAACCCCAGCACGCTCCTCTTATACAGGTGGCTTGCAGCCGCCAAGGGCGGACGGACGACTTCGCGACGCTTTTGCGACACCGTCGCCACCCGGCTTCCCAGCGCCCCCGGCGGAGCGGAAGGCGCTTGCCGCCGAGTCCCGCGGCCTTTCGGGGGGCGGGTAGTGTGTGTTGCCTGCGCCTCTGCTCCCGGCCGCGACGAAGTCGTGGGCAGGGGATTAGAGAGAGCATCGAGCTGGGAGGGGTGAGTGATCGCTCGGTGGACCTGGCCGGGAGCTGGCAGGAGCTTTCCCGGGCCTGAGCCAAGTATGCAACCAAGCTTCTGAGCCAAGCTTGCAGAAATACCTCCTTCCGTGGTGTGCGTGGCTGCCTCTGGGCTCTCTTGTGAGGTTTAAATATTGATAAAGTGGTCCAAAAGTAATTAATGCCGACTCCTAGCTCTTTCTCCTCATTTGAGTGTTGCATATGCCAAAAATACGGGGTTTTAGAAAATGCCAATAACTACTAATTGTTTACCTGAAAATGGTGTTCACTATAGCCAAGCAAGCAAGCTTGCCCGCTCGCGCTGTCTGTGTATATTATACATGTATATCTACCTATTATTTATATATTATATATATATATATATATATAATATATATAATGCTTATCTCATTTAATCCTTCCAGCAACTCTAAGATAGGGTCCTTTATTACCTTTACACTTTTATGGATAAGGAAATCTAGGCTTACAGAGCTTCAGAAACTTCCTGGGCCTGACTGGGTAGCTCACTTGGTTAGAGCATTGTCCCCATACGCAATCCCTGGCCAGGACACACACAAGAATCAGGCAATGAATGGATGAGTAAGCGAAACAACAAAAATCGGTATTTCTCTCTCCTTTCCTCTCTCTCTCTCTAAAAATCAGTAAATTAAACTTACTAGACATATATCCAAAATAATAATTGATTGTTAATTGGTTAATATTATACAGTAATTACTAATATAGTATTTATAGCATGCATTCTACTTATTAAAATTAATGTTTATTAATATTGCAGTATTGCAAAACTTTTCTTATTCAGTTCTGTGTCAAATCAGATTTGAATGTTTCTTAATGCTGGAGGCGAGCTGAGTTCACCAACCCCAAATGTGCCTCTTTGGTCTATTATTTTAGGAAAGATCATTTTAAGAAACAGAAGACATTGGAAGGCACTCTGAAAGCCAAGTAGAAGTTGCTCTTCCTGAAAGGACATTTTTATAAGGGAAATCCCCATTTGTAAGTGTGTTCCCCTCACTGTACCAGGGCTGTCTTCACTAACAATGGGGAAGGTGTGGACTTAAATGTATACAACAATCTTACCGTTGTTTACAGTGCTTTTCCTGATAACCTCGTAACTAACCCTCCACCTCCAACATCTTTTTTTGTTTAGCATAAGGTAGTACTTAAGGAAATGGCTTTGGCCATTTTGCCAAGGTATTAAGTGTTCCTGGGTCTCTCCCATGTACATGCAAGGTATACATGTTATAAAATTTAAATTTGCTTTTCTCCTTGTCAATATAAGAAATGTCTAAACCTGTAGAGAACTTTTATGAGTTTATTTGAGACAAATTGACATCCGTTGCTGGAAAGTAAAATCTCCATGGATCAAGAAAAAGTAACTGCACATAAACTCCACTTCTGTAGCAGGACCCTTTCTTTCTCCTTTCTCTCCATCCAATCCCCTTCCTTAATCATTAAGCCCTTAAGACATCAGATTCTGGTCAGCAGCATACTGTCTTTAAGAACAAGGTTCAGATCTATTGGCCACAGAAACAAACTAAAGGTAAGAGCACCTCAGTTTTGTTACCACACCCTCATGAAACTAGACAGAATGACACCAGAGACCTGATACAGTGATCAACCACTCTCTACCCTGGCCCCAACCAATCAGTAAAGGCAAGAATTTTTTTTTCCTTTATATAATCTTTCCTATGTGGGCCACTGGGGAGGGGAACTAGGTTTTAGAGTGTTTGCTTACCTGTGACTCTGGGATTGGTACATTTTCCTCATAAGAAACCTTTCTTTGTACAAACTTCTCTTTGCATCTTACTGGGCTTTGATGCACACAGGCAAATGGACCCCTTAGGATAGTAATAAAAGTGTTCTGGAGATTGGCCATTTTGTAGCTTATTCTGAATGAAAGGAGGAGATATGAGGAGGGTTACATGCAATCAGGGGTAGATTAAGTGGGTGGGAAAGCAAAGCAGGGAAATCTCAGTAATTGGATAAAAAGCAAAATGGAGAATCACATACTTTTACATTGGTGGATATAGGTTAGTCGACATTTATAGCACATGGACATGGTCTGTGGAAAACAAACTAACAAGAGTTCTGTGGTTTCATTCTCTGGTGCTGGCGGTTGTGCCGTGGGTCTGGAAAAGAAAATTATTCTGACATTTCAAAGAAATCTTAGACACAAAAAGACAATAGACAGACTGACTTAAGGTAAAGATTGACCTTTACCAAGGAAGATACAGGATATGACTGCCTGCCATGACCAGCTTTTAGTTAGGAATTTTTACGTTCAGACAGTCCTATGTGGTTACTTTTGTCTCTGAGTTTGTAAGGCCCACCATGCAGTCCTCCCCTGAACTTGTCAGATTTAGGACCCCCTTTGGTCCACATTCTGCTGATCTGTCTCGTGACAATTTGATTATTAGACTACCCAGAAGAACCTAGAAGGGTGGAAACAAAATTATTTTCTTTCTTCTACAATTTTAGAGAGCTAGCCAGGGGAATTCACTGGCTGGAACACTGCTAGCTCCCAGGACTGGCAGCTGAGAGATTTGTGACAAAAAGCCAGCAAGAGGCCCCAGCTGGGCAGTTCAGTTGGTTAGAGTGCTGTTCTGATACACCCAGGTTGGGAGTTTGATCCCTGGTCAGGGCATATGCAAGAATTAACCAATGAATGCATATATATGTGAAACAACAAATCAGTGTTTCTCTAAGTCAATAAATGAAGGTTTTTTTTAAAAAAATCAATATACACAAGAATTATATGGGACTGAATGAAATGATGATTATAATTTTTTTTGCCTTTGAAATAGTGCTAATTTTTTAATTCCTATTTTTCAGATATATGCAAATTTGTTTCTCTTAAATGACCTATGATTTAGAGCAATTTGGTAAATTATACCTTTGTAAGCAGAATTGAAACATTTATCTTTTTCTCTCTATCAGATCTCTCCAGAATTCAAAAGCTCTCAGTGAATCAGTGAATAGTCTTATTTTCATGGTCATATTTTTTTTTCACAAGTTCAATAAGAATCTGTATTCCTTGTTAACAGAGCACAATTGGAAGCTGGTTAAATTACCAAGGCTTTGTCTGAAATGTCATATTTGAGAAAGACATGCATAGACCGAGATATGACCAGACAGCTGTAAGGAACAAAGATTGACTTTGAGAGCTGTTAAAACTCTTAGAAAAATTGGCCCGGTATCAAAGTGTTCAGCAACCTTACCAGGTGAATCAGAAAGGCCACTTCCTGGGAGGTACTGGAACCTCAGGATATTTTGGAGACCTTGAGAAGCAAGGAATTAACCCAAACTGAAGGTACTATAGGCAAAGTCTGATGACAAGTCTGGCTTGGCTCTTCTGGCCTCAAGGGAACTTCCTCCCACCCCCTTGCCCATGGACCTTTTCAATCTGAAGTTCAATCTGAAGATTCCTTGTGAAAAATTCCAGCAAAGCAGCTTTAAAAGAGTCTATACTAGGGAAAAAAAACAATTAAAAAAATTTTTTAAAGAACCTATATGATTAATTGCTATTCTTTTTTTTGCTATGTCTTGCAGTTCCTGGCCCACAGATCTAACACATAGTTCCATGAATAAAGGAAGCAACGTATTTACTCTATGAGGTGTTTCCAACAGTGTAGGTCTACAGAAAAGGCCCCATCAGGATAGACCTGAACGATTAATTGCTATTCTTATTGTACTTATAGAAATAATCAGGCCAAGCTTAGTGAAATTACTTATTTTGCAAATATATTACTCTTAATTTGGCTATCTTTGGTAAAAATTGGATTGGTTTTAGAGAGAACCTATAATACACACTTAATGGATATTAAATTATAGTACCTGAGAGAACCTCTGAAAACCAAGTAGAAGTTACTTTTTGTAAAAGGACATTTACATGGGAAGATGTCAGTAGGAAAGTGACATTTGAGGGGATGCGTCATGTGGCTCTCTGGTGGAAGGGCATCCCATATAGAACAGACAGCATGTGCAAAGGCCCTTGGGTAGGAATGTGCCTGGTGTGTTCCAGTCCTAGAGGTGTGTGTCATGCGTGTGCTGTCAGGACCTCCTGGACGAGGCACCGTACAACAATCTGACCCAGACACTCAGAGCCACAGTGTCACAAAAATGTTTGTACTGCAGCCTTGACCAGCCTTCTTTTGTTCAGAGTCCCCCTCAAAATTAGAAGTATTATGGGTTACACAATTATGGCTCAGGGTAGCAAAGCTATCTGTTGTATCTTGCTTCCAAAATCCAAAGAAGCTGGCCAAGTACTGAGTATAGCAGCATGACATTTACTTCTCAGGGTATATTCAGATACACTGTAGACTACTGGACTCCAGAAGCTTCCTTGAAGAGATAGGCCCCTGAGGTTTTGTGGGTTTTATCCATGTATGGATGACTTGCCGAGGCATCTAGGATATCCTAGGTCTGCTCACCTATCATCCTATTAGCATGATGTCACCAGTGGATAGACCAGAATGGCATCTATGGGATGATGAGATCATCAAAAGTAGACACTGAATTGTAGCAGTGAAGCAGGGTTGTCACAGATCCAAGATAAGGCATTCAAAAATACTGTTTTCCTTCGCAGGTGAAAGCAAACTGATTTCAGTTTTCTCTCATTACTGGAATAGAGAAAATAACATTGCCAAATTCATAGCTGGATGCTAAGTTCCAGGCTCTGTGTTGATTTGCTTTATTAAAGAGACTACATTGAAGCAGCAGCTGTAATATGAGTAGCTTAAAATATCCCACTGCTATTTTTCTAAGACATGTCTTAGATAATAAAGAGTTAAAGAGTGCACTCCTTTATCTTCCAGAAGAGTTGGTGGCAGTAATCCCTGTGATTCCTATGGCAATGCAGCATTGCCCTTGGTTTACTACTTTGGTCTTTCTGTTGCAATATTTGGTCTTCCTGCCATAGTAGCCCTGATCCATGAATGAGGGAGCAAGGAAGATACTTTAAGTTGATAAGTATGTTTATTCCAATTATGCATTCAGGATCTCATAAGTGTAGGGTAGGTTCAGGGACCCACTGGGTCCCTAATGGACTTGGGCCCAAACTCCATTTGTTATGTGATCACCATCACTTACTGCGCCACCTCGTCCAGTGAGGTCTGCGATGATATTCTGAGTTTCCCAGGGTTAGTGTTAGCTCATAGGTAATATATGACATTGTGGGTTTTATTTCTAGGCTCAATCTATTTACATAAGAATTTTAAGTTTCTAATTGGTAATGAGAGAATATTGTCTAATATTTTTACTGTTTAAAATTTGTTAAGGTTTATTTTATGGTTAACATTTGCAACTTCCACAACTATTTGAAAACAAGGTGCCTTCTATTTTCAGGGTGCAGACTTTGGTATTTATCAATTAGATCTACCGCACTAATTATGTTATTCACATCGTCTATAGCCTTAATTTTGTCCACTTGACTGTTGTGAACTGAGAGATGTGAACCGAAGTCTTCTATCAATGTGTTTCCTAGTGTTTTCTGTCGTTCTGCTTCCCAGTGCTGTCTTGGTCATAGCCATAATTATTATATAACTGTTACAAATTGCTCCTCCTAGCATTAGAAAGATCCTTTTTCTCTGAATGTTCTTTGTCCTGGTATCAGCCTCTTTTTATATTAAGATCACACCTTTCTTCTTCTTTTTTTTTATAAAGCAGGATCAGTTAGTAGATTTAATGGGAAGAATTTAAAATGAAATTAAGGTAAAAGGTATAACGTAGAATCGCTGAGGTTTGTATCACCCCTACCACTTTTAGAAAACAAATGAGAGTTTTATTTTCATTGAAGACAGTAAATCATAATTGCAATCTGATGTCTGATGCAAGAATGGTGTTGCTTTGTCTTCTGTTACTATTTTAGGAAACACCTGAGTTAAAACATAAGAAGGCTGTTCCTCCCAGAAGGTGTTTCATTCCTTAACCAACGCAGAGTGTTGCTGTCCAGCCTTCGTAATATAACACTTTGGAGCAAACATGCAGCCCAGTAGGCACTCACTGGAGGCCAAATTGAGAAAAATCTCCATGGCCACTATGACCTTGTCCTTGGTGTTGTAAACGGGGAGGAGGGGGTTCCAGACGATGCAGAACCCTAGCGTGCTGAACATCAACAAATTGGCCTCACTGCAGGCGTCAGCCTGGTTCTGGGTCAGGAAATTCAAGAAGCTCCCCAGGGCCAAGGAGCCAAGGTATTTCTGGGCACGGTAGAAGGCAGTGACCCGGCCCTTGTTATGCACGATGATGATGTGGCCATGTACACAGTATGCATCCTTGGGGATGAAGGGAAGGGAGGTTCCCAGCCAGGATCCAGAGTCGGTTGGATAAGAGGGCAAATGGGAATGATGGAGTTAGGAGCCCCTGACACCAACTACTGCCTCATCCTTTTCTTTGGTGCAGTGACCTTCAAACCCAGGACCACAGTAGCAGTTTGGGCTGAGACTGTGGAAACAGCTATAGTAAAAACAATTCCAAATGTTATTTGCTGAATAATTCAGGTAACTGTTGGGACAGCTGGTGAAGAGTAAGGAGCAGAGGGAACAAGGTGAGGGAGATGAGAGTCCAATGATTGGTCTTGCCAATTGGAGTGTCTCTGTGCTTCACAAAGAACCCAAGGACCACACCGGCGAAAACAGAGAAGCAGATGGCCGTGCAAGGCAGAGTCATTCCTCAGGAACATCACAGCTGGTGGCAGGCAGTGATTTCTGTCTTGGATAGAAACTGACCTCCTGGACACTCTGTTCATTGATCTGTATCCTGGGCTACGGCTTGGGGTGGGGGACCAGTGGCATCAGAGATGTACAGGGATAAACTGAGTTGTGTTGTTTCGGGGTGAAGGCTGGAGGGACGGCTCCAGGTGCCATCCCACCCTTCATTTCATTTGCATTTTTCTGGCACACCTTTAGCTTTCTTACTCACTTTGTTTTAGGTTTATCTTGCATATTGGAGTTTGTGATCCGATCCGCAAGTCTTTTTGTTTCAGTTGGCGAGTTTAGCCTATTTGCATTTATTATTTGGTTTAAGTTTACTTCTGTCATAAAAGTTAGGCTCTTCAACTTTCATGATGTCATGTTTTCTTGGTTTGCTTTGTATATTTCTGTTCTAAAATTTGTACTTGCCATGTGTTTTATGTGGGCATGAGTTGACGAAGGCAGAAGGACAGCTGCCTTTGAAAGAAGTCACTGCTTACATTTCCCAAGAGGAGGGGCACATCAGCACAAAGGGCTACATGGGCAAGCAGCAAGGTCCATCAGGAGGCCAGGAGGGAAAGCCCAGGCCTTTATTGCTCTAGTGGTGGGAAGTTGTTAAGTGGGACGTCACCCTATTTGGGAAGGAAATGAGACATAAATGTTGGGATTTGTGGTTGAAGGGTTTTTATCAACAGAGCTAGATCACAGGGGAGACAGCAAACTTTGGTCATTAGTTTGGCCTGTGATTGAATGGAGCTGAGTAGATAACACGGAATCATAGAAAATAGAAGTGTTTCTTCTGGTAATTTAGATTTATATCTTTCCCAAAACTTTATATCCTTAACCTACAATCTTGTAAACAATTATTTTCTCCTTTGACCAATGAAATCTCAGTATTTCCTTTTTTCTCTCATTTCATACCTATTTGTTTTGATTGATATCTATGTGTCGACTTTTGTGAAATCTGCTTCTAATTCCATTAATAGATTTTTTATTGTTTTAAATAACTTTTAATTCTCCACCCCAGCCTTTAAAGACAAAGATATCACTATTTTTACACGATTACCTACCTTCTCCCCCTTCTTTAAAAATAAGGATTTGACATTTACATTTTATTCTAATGGCAAAAATCCCCACATTTGTTTTTGTTTAAGTTTTGTTCCTAGAGTGGTTACATTTTCTGGTTCTTGTATGTTAGGAAGCACTCGTCAGTTTTATTCAGCACCAGTACCATTTGGATGCTCTCATTAACATATGGGGAAGTCTGGCTTCATTGGTCCTGCCTCCCCAAAGTGGAACCTGGAAAACTCCCAAGCATTCTATGAAAGGGGCCTTCTTCAGTGAGATGTCTTGGGATGAGGTTTCTCTTTTGAGTTCTGAAATTCAAGGAGGCCCCATGAAGGACCCTTTGTTGCTCTCTTGGTGCGGGTAGGAGCATTCTTCCACCTTCGTACAGGTTTATTTCTCACGGTTTCTGGTACAGAAGTGGCCTCAGTGAGCATAGAGGCAGCAGGACTTGTGGAGAGTTGGACACTCTGTTGCAGGAGTGTCCAACCTTCTGGTGTCTCTAGGCCACACTGGAAGAAGAGTTGTCCTGTGTACACATTAAATACATTGTGACACATAATCACACACAAAAAAATCTGCGTTTTAAGTAAATTTACTATTTTGAGTTGGGCTGCATTCAGACACCCCGAGCCCCACGTGGCCTGCAGGCTGTAGGATGGACACGCAGACAGTCCCACATGCTGGCGAGGTGGTAGTGGCTTCCTCTTCAGAACTGTTCTAAGACATGGTTACGGCAGTCCTCCTCGAAGCCTATCCTGCTGGTTCACCAGCCTTCCAACAGTTTTGAGCTAAGCAAAATTCTTTAAGAGAATTCATTTTCCTGCTTCAGGTCAGTTTCTATTGTTTGCAACCAAGAATCTGTAACTATACCTTATGGGCCAAATCTGACCCACTACCTATTATGAAATGAT